ACATAGGAGTGACATGGCTGATTCATACAGTAAGTGTCCATTTAACTTAAGAAACTTCCCAACTGTCTTCCAAAGTGGTTGTGCCATTTTCCACTCCCACAGGCACTCTCTGAGAGTTTCAGTTCCTCCACGTCCTTCTCAACACTTGGTGTGGTCAGCCTTTCATTTTAGCCATTTTGGTGGGTGTGTCATGGTATGTCATTGTGACGTGATTTCTATTTCTTTGAGGACTATTAATGTCAAACGTCTTTTCTTGTGCTCATTGCCCATTCTAGGTCTTCTCTGTGCTGAATTTCAAACTGTGTAAAGGTAACACCTATTTAAAAGTATATGATCACACCCATTGGGATGGCTTGTATCAAAAAAATAGAAGATAACAAATGTTGGCAGGGATGTAGAGAAGCTGGAACTCACTATTCACCCAGGTGCTACAACCATCTCTAACCCCCTTCTTGTCTCCACCCTAATACCTGGTCCGTGAACATAACCCATTGCCTCCAAATATGGCCACTTTTCTCCTTCTCCATGCTATTACATGAATCCAAGCCACCATAACTTCTACCTCTGGTCTCCCTGAGGTCATTCTTGCCCACCACCACTAGTCCCCTAAACATTCTCCACACAGAAACCAAATGACCTTTCACCAAAACTCTTCAAAAAACTTTTTATTTTGAAATAATTTTCAACTTACAGAAGATTCGTGCTAGGAACTGAATGTTTGTGTCTCCCCTAAACGCATATGTTGAAACTTAACTCCCAATGTGATGGTATTAGAAGGTGGGAGCTTTGGGAGGTGATTAGTTCATGAGGATGGAGCCTTCATGAATGGAATTAGGGCCCTATAAGAGAACTGGTGATCTCTCTCTCCTTCTCTCTCTGTCTCTCTCAGCCATGTGAGGATGTAGCAAGGAGGCAATTGTCTACAATCTAGGAAGTGGTCCCTCACCAGACATTGGCTATGCCAGCGCCTTAGTCTTGGACTTCTCAGCCTCCAGAACTGTGAGAAATAAATGTTTGTCATAAACTCACCCAGTCTATAGTATTTTTATCATGGCAGCTCAACAGGCTAAGATAATTTGCAAAATTGGCACCCGCAAAGTTCTTGTCTACTCTTCACCCCACTGGCCCGAATGTTAACATCTTGCATAACCATGGTACGCTTGTCACAAAGAAGAGATTAACTAACATGGCACAATGCTGTTCATTAAACTACAGACTTAGGGGGCGCCTGGGTGGCTCAGTTGGTTAAGCGGCTGCCTTCAGCTCGGGTCATGATCTCACGGTCCCGGGATCAAGTCCCACATCGGGCTCCCTGCTCAGCGGGAAGCCTGCTTCTCCCTCTCCCACTCCCCCTGCTCTCACTATCTCTCTCTCTCTGTCAAATAAATAAATAAAATCTTAAAAAAACAAAAACAAAAACAAAACTACAGACTTAGTATGAATTACACCAGTTTTCTCTCTGATGTCCTTTTCAGGTCCAGGATCTCATCCGGGACATCACATCATATTTCATTTATCACATCTCCTAAGACTTCTCTAATCTGTGCCGATTTCCTGGTCATGCTTTGTTTCTCACAACCTTGACATTAAAAAAAAAAAGATTTATTTACTTATTTTTTTTTTAGATTTTTTATTTATTTATTTGAGAGAGAGAGAGAGAGAGAGAGAGAAACAGCATGAGAGGGGAGAAGGTCAGAGGGAGAAGTAGGCTCCCCGCTGAGCCGGGAGCCCGATGTGGGACTCGATCCCGGGACTCCGGGATCATGACCTGAGCCGAAGGCAGTCGCTTAACCAACTGAGCCACCCAGGCGCCCCAAGATTTATTTACTTATTTGAGAGAGAGAGAGCGAGCAAGTGGAGGGGAGGGGCAGGGGGAGAGAGGGAGAGAATCTCAAAGCAGACTCCACGCTGAGCACAGAGCCCAACACGGGGCCGGATCTCAAGACCCCGAGATCATGACCTGAACTGAAACCAAGAGTCAGATGCTTAATCGACTGAGCCACCCAGGTGCTTCCTCATGACCTTGACATTTTTGAAGTGTCCTAGTCAGGTCTTTTGTAGAATGTCCCTCAATTTGGGACAAACATCTGATGTTTTCTCATGAGTAGATTGAGGTTATAGGTTTGGGAGACAATACCAGGGAGGTTATGTGTCCTCATTACATCATATCAGGGATCCATGCACATGATTCATTGCTATGATGATAATTTTTTTAAAGATTTTGTTTCTTTGGGGCTCCTGGGTGGCTCAGTCGTTAGGCGTCTGCCTTCGGCTCAGGTCGTGATCCTAGGGTCCTGGGATCCTAGCCCTGAGCCCCATGTTGGGCTCCCTGCTCCGCGGGAGGCCTGCTTCTCCCTCTCCTGCTCCCCCTGCTTGTGCTCCCTCTCTCGCTGTGTCACTCTCTGTCAAATAAATAAACAAAATCTTTAAAATAAATAAATAAATAAAGATTTTGTTTATTTATTTGAGATAGAGAGAGAGTGTGAACATGAGGGGGGAGGGGCAGAGGGAGAAGCAGGCTCCCTGTTGAGCAGGGAGCCTGATGCAGGGCTCGATCCCAGGACCTCAGGACCATGACCTGAGCTGAAGGAAGACGCTTAACAGACTGAGCCACCCAGGAGCCTCCCCTGGGATGATAACGTTGATTACCTGGTTGAGGTAGTATCTGCCAGGTTTCTCCACTGTCAAGTTACTTTTTGCACTTTCCATACTTTTATTCCTTAGAAGCAAGTCACTAAATTAATCCGGTTCACACCTAACAAGGTGAATTAAGCTCCACCTCCTGGAAGGAGGAATATCAAACAATCTGTGGATATTTTTTTTTTTTTTTTTTTTTGAGAGAGAGAGAACGCATGTATGAGTGCTCGGGTAGGAGTGGGGTGGGGGTGGGGTGGGGAGGGGCAGAGGCAGAGAGAGAGAATCCCAAGCAGGCTCCACACCCAACATGGAACCTGAGGCAGGGCTCAATCCCACGACCCTGAGATCATGACCTGAGCCTAAATCAAGAGTCAGACACTTAACCTACTGAGCCATCCAGGTGCCTCTGTGGACATATATTTTTAAAAACCTAATAATTAATAAATATTTTAGAAGAGATACTTTTAGGGTAAGCAAATGTTGCGTTTCTCCTTGAAGTTTCACCCACTAATTTTAGCATTCATTGGTAGATCTTGCTTGCTGCAATTTTAACTGTGGTGTTTGTCTGATAATGATTTTTTATTTCCCTCATTCCTTCTATACTTATTAATTAGACATCTTCTATATGGAAGGGTGGTCTCTTTTCCCCTATTTTTATTCAATCATTTATTTATACCAGTATGGACTCATTGGTATTTATTTCTTTGGATCACAATGATCTTTTATTGTTAGGGTTCTTTTTAAGATTTTATTTATTTATTTGACAGAGAGATAGAGCACAAGTAGGCAGAGGGAGAGGGCGAAGGAGGCTCTCCGCTGAGCAGTGAGCTGGACGTGGGGCTCAATCCCAGGACCCTGGGATCACGACCTGAGCCAAAGGCAGCCGCTTAACCAACTGAGCCACCCAGGCGCCCCATTCGTTTTTTTTTTTTTTTTTAAGTAATCTCTTTACCCGACATGGGGCATGACCTCAAGGCCCTGAGATCAAGAGTTGCATGCTCTACCCACTGAGCCAGTGAGGCACCCCATGGATCACAATGATCTTTTAAATCTCATAGCAGATTCCATCATCTACTAAAAACCTTCCAGAGACTTCCCTTTCTGCTTAAGAGTAAAATCCAACTATCTTGCTTACCAACACTCCCTGCCTGGTTTCCCAGTCCTTATCTGTCTTCCTTGGTTATGTTTTTTCCTTGCTCATTCCTGCTTTGGCCCAACTGGCCTCTTTGTGGTCTCTCAGTCATGCCACCCTCATCCCTCTGAAGGCTTTGTCTTCGCTGGAATATTTCTCTTCCTCACCTGCACAGGGCCCCTCTCTGACTGTCCCGGGCAGCCTTCTTTCTTCCCTTTGATTTCTAATCCTACCTGAAATTAGGTAACCGAATTCTTACTTCCTTGTAAATCTATTTCCTTGTTTATCACCTGTCTTGTTCACCAGCGCCTAGACCATAGTAGGTGCTCAATGAATGCATGAGGCTGGAAGAATGTGAAGAGCAAGATCCATTCACTTCCTCCCTGATTATAGTCACAGTTGAGGTATACGCATGTCAGGTACTCAGGAGCACTACCCTGTAAGGCTCAGTTTCATCCTGTGTAAAATGGACATAATAAAAGGACCTATCTGCAAAACTGTTGCAAAGATTAAAAGAGCAAACGCCACATGAAGACGACACTCCTAGCAGACATTCAACAATTATTACTGTCATCTGTAAAATGGGCACAACAGCGATCTACTACATAGAATTTTTGTAAGCTCAGAACCATGTCTAGTACATGTAAAGTGCTATATAAGCGATCGATGCTATCATCCATCATCATCATCATCATCATCATCATCCCACCAGGCCGCCCCCAGCCCATCTGAAAGATGTTTTCATTTAATCTCATTTTTTTTTCTTTGGCAAAGCCCTTTCCTCGGCCTGGCCGGGTGGCCCCAGGATACTCGCCAGGCCTCTGTTTATCCGGATAGGGCGCTGTGGGGACTCCGGCCGGTGTGAACTGGGGGCTCCGATCGCCCCGCCCACGGGCCTGGACCGCCCGCGGTCTCCATGGAAACCCACCAGCCACAGGGGGGCGTGACGCCGCCGAGAGGGATAGGGGCCTTCGCCTATCCGGTCAAAGTCATCTCGGCAAGGGGCGCAAACGGGGCCTCTGATGGGTGCGTCCTTGCGGAAAGGCGGGAATACGGCGGCGAACCACGGGGGTTGTACCATCTCTACCAGTCAAGGGCCGAGGTGGCTATGATGGACAGGCCTAGCGGGAAGAGGCCCCGAGTGCGGGCTTTCACCCAACCGACCGGCCTCAATGCCGAGAAAGGGCCAATGAGGAGGCGGCGGGGGTGGGACGAAAAGGCCGGTTGCTCCGGAAGTGGAGGGAGGGGGTGAAAATGGCGCCCAGCTCGAAATCGGAGCGGAACAGCGGGGCCGGGAGCGGCGGTGGCGGCCCCGGGGGCGCCGGGGGGAAGCGGGCAGCGGGGCGGCGGCGGGAGCACGTCCTCAAGCAGCTGGAGCGGGTCAAGGTAAGGCCTGAAGTCTGGGAGGAGCGCGCCGGAGGGTGGGGAGATGCGACGAGGGAGGCGGAGGGAGGGAGGGCGTTCGCGGGGTGAGGGGTTGGGGGCGGAGCCCCGGGGGAGGGGGCTCGGAGGAAGGGGGGCTGGGCGGGGCCCAGGGGAGAGGGCTTGGATGGAGGGGGCTGGGACGGGAGTTTGGATGGAGGGGGCTGGGGGCGGGGTCCTGGAGAGGGGGCTCGGATGGAAGGGCTGATGGGGGTGGCCGAGAGAGGGCTTGGGTGGGAGGGGGTCGCTGGAGGAATAAGGAAGAAGGGGGCGATCCAGGGTCAGACTCATTTTTCCAAAACCCTGCTCCCATGGCCCCTCCGTTATGGAGCCTTCCCGCCCCCTTGGCGGAGCCCCTGGTACCGGCTTTGGGCTTCCTCTGCCTGGTGTTCCTCTCTGTGTCCCGGCTCTGACCACACGGGAGCTGGGAGTTCCTGTACCTGTGTCCGCCTCCCCCATTGAATGGGAGGGACCTCCTTGGAGAAAGCCTGGTCTTTCCCCTCAGATTGGGAGCTCCCTGAGCAGGGCTCTGTCTTCTCCATCAGACAGTAAACTCACAGCGTGCCAGCATATATCTCCCGCATCAGTTCGGGAGCTCTGGGAGGGCAGACACGTGAATCTGTTGTCAGGTCAGCAGCAATCTGGGCAGAACTGTATCCCTGTGGATAGGGGGAGCACCTTCTCCATTAGGCTGGGGACTCCGTGAGGGCAGCTCTGTGTCTCCTCCTTTTGACGAGGTCCTGGGGCAGGGACAGTCTCCGCCTTCAGCCTGGTTGTTCCCTGGGTTGGGCTGTGGCTCCACCCTTAGCTTGGAAGCTCCCTGGATAGGGATTGTGTCTCCACTGTCAGCCTGGGCCTCACCAACAGGGCTGTTCCATCAGACTGGGATCCCCTTGAGGAGTGGGCTGTCTCCCCCATCTGCTAGGGAGCTCTCCAGATAGGTCTCTTTCCCATCAGACTGTATTCTCTTAAGGGCAAGGCCAAGTATCTTACTCAGACTGGGCTCTAGGACTCAGGGTGCTCTCTGATGCCCTACTACGCAGCTTGTGCCCGCCTGCCCCCCCCCCAATCCTTCCTTGAAGTTTTTGGGTTGAGGGAGTTGGTTAGAAGGCGGCTAGATTAATTGAGAAGGGGGAATTGGGCAGGAATTGGAAGGTCGCTGGTCAGCCCCACTGTTCTGCCTCAGTGGGTCCCCAGCTGAAGCCAAGGCCGTCCCAAAGGTCCTGAGCACCCTTTGTGTAAGTTAGTGGGTCAGGGACAGGTGAGCTCAGTTGGTCAAGCCTCCTTTGGCGTTGAGGACACCCACAGGTCAGTGCACCATGAAGCAGCCTTCAGGAAGTCAGCCAGTGGCCCATTGTGACCAAGGGTGAATGGGGAACCTTCCTGGGGGTGGGGGGTGATACCATTGCTGGTCCTTAGAACCTGGGTGCTTGGGCAAGAGGGGCTCTGAGGCTGGAGAGATGTGGGGCCAGGAGGGTGGCATGGGTCCCTGGTGGAAGGGGAGGCTCAGGTGAGGCCCAGCTGATCTTCCCCAGCTATTCCGACCTTCCAGAGCTTGGACCACTCTTGACCATCATGGTTATTAGGAAGTGGGCCTATGTGTCTGGGCCAGACCTTGGGGGTGCTAATCTGCTTTAGGTGGGGGGGGTGGTGGTGATGGTACCTCATGAGCCAGGGCCACCCCTTCCCCAGATCAGTGGGCAGCTCTCCCCTCGCCTCTTCCGGAAGCTGCCGCCCAGGGTCTGCGTCTCCCTCAAGAACATTGTGGACGAGGACTTTCTCTACGCAGGGTGAGGCTGCGTGAGGCTGGGCTGAGGTGGGGGAGGTGGCGGGGGAGCTGGGCGGAGGCGGCAGACCGGTCCTGACCTGCTCTTCTGCCCCCACCCCCACAGACACATCTTCCTGGGCTTTTCCAAGTGCGGCCGTTACGTTCTCTCGTACACCAGCAGCAGCGGGGACGATGACTTCTCCTTCTACATCTATCATCTCTACTGGTGGGAGTTCAACGTCCACAGCAAACTCAAGCTGGTAGGGCCGGGCCCAGGGCTGGGCTTTCCCTTCCGGCAGCATGACCAGCAGATCACAGCACCCCCGTGAGCCTCAGCTTTCTCGTCAGTAAAGTGGAGAAATTCTACTCCAAGGGTCATTGTCAGTATTCCGTGTATTTGGTCAAACCACATGCAGTTGCCGTTTTTATAGTTGAAAGTGGGTAGATAGTGGCACTTCCGTGTGGTTCGACTCAGCAATCGTGCCTGTCTGAGAAGGACATGGCAGGCTCAGGCCAGGTGGGACCCGGTAGCTTTGCTAGCCCGTTCGCTTAACCCTGACTTTGATTCCTTGACCGCCCCCTTCCAGAAGGTGAGTGCAGTTACCCCAGTTTACACATGAGCTCGGAGAGGTGAACAGGTTTCAGGGTGGATTGGGTGTGGAACTGATGTGTCTGGCAGAGTCCCCTTTCTTGGGGCAGGGCTCTCCTCAGCTTCCGCCTGTGCCAGGCTGGCCTCCCTGGTTCCCCTCCTCGTAAGGGGAGCCTCCCCAGCCTGTCCTCAGGAAGGCGGAGGGGTATGGTATAGGAGCTGCTTGGGACTCCCTGGCTCGAGCCACCCCCTTCCCCAGAAAGGGTGCTCCTGCCAGCTCAGCCCCAGCTCCGATTCTAGCCCAGCATGGTGCAGCCTCGGGTCCCCTACGCCCCCCCACCCTACCCGCTATGACCGCATACCGACCCTGAACCTGCTGCTCAGGTCCGGCAGGTGCGGCTCTTCCAGGACGAGGAGATCTACAGCGACCTGTACCTGACCGTGTGCGAGTGGCCCAGCGATGCCTCCAAGGTCATCGTCTTCGGCTTCAAGTAAGACTTGGGGACACGGAAGGCCTGGGGACCCGGGGAGGGTGGGGCGTGGACCAGGTTGCTGAAGGAGTGCCGGCCCCCAGCACCCGCTCGGCCAACGGGATGCTCATGAACATGATGATGATGAGTGACGAGAACCACCGAGACATCTACATCAGCACTGTGGCCGTGCCGCCACCAGGCCGCTGCGCCGCATGCCGGGAAGCCAGCCGGGCCCATCCAGGTGAGTGGCTGGGGGCCTCGGGGTGCGGGCTGCCTCCCTGTCCCAAGGCCACGAGTGAGCCCGCGGGGCATGTGTTGCTACAGGCGACCCGAGCGCGCAGTGCCTGCGGCACGGCTTCATGCTGCACACCAAGTACCAGGTGGTCTACCCCTTCCCCACCTTCCAGCCTGCCTTCCAGCTCAAGAAGGACCAGGTGGTGCTGCTCAACACCAGCTACTCTCTGGTGGCCTGCGCCGTCTCAGTCCACTCGGCAGGTAGGCCCCCCGGGCTGATGATGGGCCTGGCGCCTGCTGGAATCTTCAGAGCCCCCAGTCCCCTGACCCCGAATGAGGTCTGGAGAGGCGAAGTCCCCTGTCCGAGGTCACTCGGCTGGAAAGCGGGAGTACGGACTCCAAAGCTAGCCATGCTCCACCCCAGCTCTGTCTGCCGGCTCTGCCTACACCTGCCTCCAGTAGCCACTTGAAAGTGGCTTGCGTGATTAAGGAACTGAGTTTTTAATTTCAGTTAATTTTAGTTGAGTTCAAACAGCCACACGTGGCCGTGGCTACCATGCTGGGTGGCACAGTGCTCTTTTCAAAAATTTAAAATTTCAGGGAGTTGTTAGTGGACAGATGGCTGTCCTATGTCTTTGGGAATAGAAAAAGTGCCAGTGGAGATCACAAGGTGATGTCCCTTGACAAGGTGGCCAAAGTTAAGCTGGATGATGCTACCGGCTGGTGGTGATGTGCGGCCCCGGGGCCTCCCCTGCACTCTCGGGGCCGCAGGGCAGCAGTGTGACCACAGTCCTGCACCTGGGCATGTCCAAGGCTTTGGGGGCTGCCTGCTGTCCATCCCTGGGGATCAGGGAGGTGGGACAAGGCAGGTATTCTCTTGGATCAGCAGCCCCAGTTGGGTGCCCCAGCATGCATGTCCCTGGAGCGTTGCCTTAAAGATGTGCTCCGATGCAAGAGAAACGGAAGGAGATCTATAACCAGATAATGATACCACTCACATATAAATTAAAAATGTTCCGATTTTGCAAGAACCCAGTCAAATGAAGAGACCCCCGCTAACTACATTAAAATGGTTGCCCCTGGGAGAGGGAGGGGAGCGGATATGAAAAGAGAATTAAATGTATATAACTGAGCCCCCACATCAACAAGGGCCAGGATGCCTTGTCCCCAAGCCCATCCAGGGGCCTCCTGACCCTGGCCGCCTGAGCCGCTGTGGGCAAGGCCCTGGCCCTCGTCAAGCTGTGAGCCCCCAACAAGCCGGGCCTAGCTGAGGCCCATACCCCCCGGACCTGTGGCTATGGGTCCCTGTAGGAAGGGCCATGTGGGACACGACTCAGCTGTGCGCGTTCAAGGGTGAGGGGGGCACTGTCACCCATGTCTGTCACCTCACCATTTACACAGAAGGGGAGTGAGTTTTGTCCCCGCTGGTGGACAGCAGCGCATTGGTTCGCATTGTGTTGCCGCGTGACCTTGCGCAAGTTTCTCTCTGAGCCTCTCTGAGCCTCAGTCCTTCGTCTCTGAACTGGGAGGACATGGCCCCCACCCTCCCAGGATTGATTGTGGGGGGTCCCACGGAGGTGGTGCCCAGCTCCCGGTGCTGCTCGTTGAGTGCGTTAGGGCTGTCCGTGCTGCGCCCACATCCCCCAGAGGGGGGGACCGGTCCCTAGTCAGGCAGAGACACATGGAGGCCTGGGATTTGGCTGCTGTGTGCCCAAGCCAGTCAGCTCCCGTTGGGGAGGATGCATGGCTGTGTAGTAAACTTCGCTTTTGTCACTGTCAGCCCCCCAAGGGCAGGGAGTTTTGTGTCTTATTTGCTCATGTCCTTAGTGTGTGGCATTTGGTAGATGCTCAAAACTAAAGCTTGAACGAAAGTGTTGCTTATGTCCACGCGTGCATGTGTGTGTATAAGGCCTTTTTCCCTTCTGAGTGTTTCTGACTGATCTTTCAACATAGGTAAGTCTTGTAGAAGGGTCTCCTCAAGGTGGATTTCTAAGAACAGCCCCCCGGGGCGGTGAGGGCGGTTGGCAGTGTCCTAAACTTGACCTCGTCTGTTGATCACCCCCCACCTCCCTCTCTGGTTTTTGTTCCAGGCGAGAGCAGCTTCTGCCAAATCCTGTATGACCACACCACCTGCCCCCCGGCCCCTCCCAGCCCCCCTGGGCCCCAGAGCCCCGAGGTGCCCCCCGCCCTCCCCAGCCCCTGCCCTGAAGCGGCCCCCGCCCGGCCCCCCGGGGCCCCCGAGCCCTCGCCCGCCGTCGCCAAAGCCAAGGAGTTTGTGGCCGACATCTTCCGTAGGGCTAGAGAGGCAAGGGGGGGGGGCCTTGGAGGAAGCCCGGCCGCCCCCCTGCCCGGGGCCATCGGGTAGCCGCTGCCGTCTGCCCTCGGAGCCCCTGGCCCCGGGCGGGGAGGCGGCACCCCGAGACAGCCCCCCTGCGGCTGAGGCGCCCGCCCCGGAACCTGGCTACGTCAACTACACCAAGCTATACTACGTGCTGGGCTCCAGCGAAGGGACGGAGCCGGAGGACGGTGAGCCGGGAACCCAACCCAGCGGGCAGGGCCGCCACCCCCTACCCCCCGCCCCCTACCGCTACCCCCACGTCCTGTTCCCTTAGAGTTCGAGGATGACAAGATCTCCTTGCCCTTTGTGGTGACTGATCTCCGTGGCCGTAACCTGCGGCCCATGCGGGAGCAGGCCGCTGTCCAGGTTGGTGCCAGTGGGGGGTGGGGTGGGGGGGTGGGCGGCCCTCCCCCTGGGGAGTCTGCGGGGGTGGCAGTTGAAGCAGCCCTCCCCGGCCCACTGCCCACAGGGTCAGTACCTGACGGTGGAGCAGCTCACACTGGACTTTGAATACGTCATCAACGAGGTCATCCGCCATGATGCCACCTGGGCCCACCAGTTTTGTTCCTTCAGTGACTATGACATTGTCATCCTGGAGGTGGGCCCCGGGGAGGGGGACAGGGCGGGCCCAGGGCCTCTCTGTTCTGGGCGTCACCTCAGTAGCTGTCCCTGTCATCGCTGCCCCTTCACCGCCACCACCCCCCCCCCCCAGGTCTGCCCGGAAACCAACCAAGTCCTCATCAACATCGGCCTGCTGCTCCTGGCATTTCCGTCCCCCACCGAGGAGGGCCAGCTCCGGTGAGCGAGTGGGAGCAGAGATGCCCCTCATCTGCACGGCAGGAGGCCACGCTCAGCTCCTTCTGCGGGGGTGGGCGAGTTGGGACGGGAGATGACTTCCCCTGCCCCCCAAAACCTGGACCGCGCACTCCATTACTGCTCCAAAGACAGAAGACCCTCAGGGTCGCCCGGGTCCCAGCTGAGGGACCCATTGGTCCCATCCCTTTCTCCTTTGCCCCCCACCCCACTGCAGACCAAAGACGTATCACACCAGCCTCAAGGTGGCGTGGGACCTCAACACGGGCATCTTCGTGACAGTCAGCGTTGGCGACCTCACCGAGGTCAAGGGGCAGACCAGGTGAGGTGGGGCCGGGGCCGGGGGCCGGGGGCCGGGGGCCGGGGTGCGTGGCCTGGGTGATGAGAGCCCTCACCCCCTTGCCCTCAGCGGCAGCGTCTGGAGCTCATACCGCAAGAGCTGCGTGGACATGGTCATGAAGTGGCTGGTGCCGGAGAGCAGCGGCCGCTATGTCAATAGGATGACCAACGAGGCACTGCACAAAGGTGGGCCCTGTGACCCGATGACGGTCAGGACCGAGGCCCTTCTCTGGTGCCATGCCCGGCCTAGAGCACGTGCGGATTCCTCAGTGTTCCCGAATGGAGTCTGCTGGCCGTGCTAGTGGAACTAGAGTGAGGGGAGGGCAGGCTCGGGGAGGACCGGGCAGGTGTGGCACCTGGGGACCCCCAGCCAGTGCATACACTCATTCAGCAGACCTCTACTGGGAGGCCGCCGGTGGGAGGCCCGCAGGATAACTCAGCAGGGTCGCTGCCTTCTGGAACCTTGTGGCCCAAATCAAGTCAGGGAAAGAGGCAGGCCCCCTCCCCTCAGCCTGGGCCTGTACAGACTCCATGGCTCCCTTCTGACCCTTCCCTGCAGGGTGCTCACTGAAGGTTCTGGCAGACAGTGAGCGATACACGTGGATTGTGCTGTGAGGGCCCGGCCGTTCTGGACACTGACTCCAACTACCTCCGTGGCCTGGGAGCCGGCCGCCTTCCTGGCAGCCTCTCCCCGGCTGGCCGGCCGACCGATGACCTGCCGACCGACGAGACGACCGACTGCCGGGGCCGGCACTCGTGTTAGGCTGCGGGGAAGGGGGCTGGGCGGGGCAGCCCCTGGTGGCCTGAGAGTCCGGACGCTTCTTATTTATGCCTATTTAAGTTGGGAAGGGGCAGAGGGAGGGAGCCCCCTGCCCCCCCCAGCCTCAAGCGCCCACCTTCACCCTGCGCTGGGCACAGGCCCTTGCTCTCTGTGCATCTGCCCCTTTCCTTGGCTACAGGTGTGGACATTGCCCCCCAGGGAGGCCGAATGGACCCCCTTTCCCTGCCCGCCCCAGCCTCCCCCCGCCTGAGGTGGCACACCTCGTGGCCATCCCCTCCCCCACCCGTCGTTCCCCTTCATGTAATAAATGTTTTATTTCTGAACTTTGAACTCCCCCTTACTGCCGCTCGAGGCCCAGTCAGAGCCCCGGCCCCAGGGCCCCGCGACTCAGCAGCAGCCACATAGCACAGCGGAATTTATTGTGTTTTAAGAAAGACTACAAAAAGGTAGAAAACAGCTCGGCACACTAGACTACCACACGCGTGGACACTTTCACGGCCAGGAGGGGGGGAGCCCCGAGGGAGTGGGGAGGGGACATGAGGGGCCACCCCAAAAGCTGTAGCACGCGGAGCACACAAAATAGTGATTTTTATACAATAGGTCCGATCTTTTTTTGTCTTTTTTTTTGTCTTTTTTTTTTTTTTTTGCTTTTTGCCATAAACATCTATCTCACAGGTTGAAGACACTGAGAAAACCGGAACAGATAAGGCCATGATGGTTGGAAAAAAACCAACAAGTTACCAACTCCGCTCAGGCGGCTCACAAATCGCACAATAGTCATGTGGGGGGCGGGTCGCACTGCACGGAGGAGAAGCACAGTCTCCCGGGAGAGAAGGAGCACAGAGGTTCCATTACAAACCAGAGGCGGGTGGCCTGGGACGCCGGGGTCTTGGATCTGAGGGAACCGAGCCCCCAGCCGGGGCCGGGACAGGCGCGGGCACTTCTGGGCCCCACTGCCAGCAGCAGGCCCCTCTGGACTCCCACGCCCAGCCCAGCCTGCTGCTCTTTGGAAGCTGGAGGCCGTGCCCCTGGCCGCCCTCCCCTCAACCAGGCCGGGACAGTGCCCTCCTCGAGGGCTGCGGGGCAAGGGAGGGCCCAGCTCTGGAGAAGATGCGACACCCACGGCTTTAATTGCACTTATACCAAGGAGTGGGGAGCGGTGGGGTTGCTGGGGGAGGGGTCCCGGGGCTGCTGCTGACAGTGGGGGTCCCCAGGTGATGCCCACCTGTGCCCACCTGGGGCTCAGGGTTGGGCCCGGGACAGACTGTGCAAAGCCAGCGAGCTGAATAAGTTAACAGTTCCACAGGGGAGGGGGGCCTGCCTGCCTGCCCCCTGGGGTGGCGGGAGGGTGGGGCTGGGGGAGGGAGATGCTGAGGCCTTCGGGGCCAAGGAGCCTAGCTGGCTGTCCCATGGGGCACCTGGGCACGGCGGCGGGTTCCTTAAGGCACGTCTTTTGTGTCAGTTTGCAGCTGCGGCTCCGCCCGGCCCTGCGATTGTGCCGGCCCCACTGGGGGCAGGGACCCCCTAGTCTTCCCTGTCTTGGCGGCCCCCTCCCGGCCCGAGGCTGGAACGGTGACAGCGAAGCCACAGAAGCTGTGAGGGACCCTGGCGTGGATGGGCGGTGGGGGCGGGCGGGCGGGCGGGGAGGCGGGGCGGGGGAGGCCGCGGGCTTAGCTGGAGGGCAGCGCCTGCACGAAGAGGCCACGCGCGTCTGTCCGTGCCAGCTTGGCCGGCGGCTCCAGAGCATCAGGGCCCAGCGCGGGCGACTCGCCGCCGGCCGCCAGCGAGATGTCCTGCGGCAGCTCGTCCTCGCTCTCCTCCTCCTCTTCCTCCTCCTCGTCTGGGGCACACAGAGCAGGCCCGACTCAGCGTGGCGTCTCCTCCATCCCCACCGCCCCGTCTGCCGCTCCTTGGGCCGGGGCCCACGCTAGGGGACACGCCCCGCCTACCTTTGTCCGGGTCAAGGGGGTTCAGCGAGGTGGTCAGGTTGGCGAACTGCAAGGAGGCAAGACAAGGGGTGAGGGTCCCGCCGAGGGGCGCCCCGCCCGCCCTCTCAGCGCCCCGCCGCGCGCACCTCGCCCATGACGGCGATTGGGGTCTCGCCCTTGGCCTGGGCCACGCGGTGCTCGATCAGGTAGTACATGTACTCGTCGTAGAGCAGCCGGATGAGATGGAAAGAACCAAAGCTGGCAGCGCTGCGCAGGGTCAGGTCCCGGATCACCATGGAGCTGTGGGCGGCGGCGGAACGGAGGCCATCAGGCCCGGTGCCGCCCCTCGCCAGCCTTCCGTGCCTCAACGACCCCCCCTCCGCCCAACACGCGCCAGCAAGCCCTGCTATCCCGGTCCGGCCCCGCCCTGGCTTTCCCAAATGCGTCCATCAGTGAGAGCATAGGGTCCTCACCCCGCCCACCGCCAACAGGGACCTCCGCCCTGGTGAAAGGGAACCCGAGCCACAAGGAAGCGGGATCTTCTCTGGTCCCAAATCCTGCAAGGAGGCGGGGCCTCCCCGATCCCATTTTGGCCGGCCCCCCGCAGAGGAGGAGCCGCCCAGAGGCCCCGCCCCCAGAAGGAGGGCCGCCCCGCCCCTTCCCGCCGGGATCTCGCGGAGGCGGAGCCAGAGCGCACCTGTAGAAGGACCACTTGAGGAGAAAGAGCTTGGCGGCCTTGGGGAAGCCGGCACTGCCCTGGTAGGGCTTGAGCACCTGGCTCACGACGCCGTCCAGCCAGGCCGCCCACTGCTCCAGTGAGTTCTGCTGCTGCAGGGTCACCTTGAAGTCCTGCTCCAGCCGCTGCACCACGCGGTCCTCGCAGCGGCACACCCACGAGGCCTGTTCCTGGAGGACGGCCGGCAAGTGCCCGCGGCTCAGCCGCCGCCCCGGGGCCGCACAGCCCTCACCCGCGCCGCGCCGCGCCGCGCTCACCGGCCCTGTCCTGCGCTCACCTGCACGTTGGCGAAGTCCACGCGGTTGAGGTCGCTCAGCATCTGGTTGATCTGCGCGGTGTTCTGCAGCACGGCGCGCGCTGCCTGCGCCAAATGGTTGAGCGACGTGTAGCGTCGCAGTGTCTGCGCGAAGGCGCCGGCCGCTGCCACCTGCGGGGCCGGATGTGGCAGGTGGCGGATGTGCGCGTGGACGGTGCGCTTCCCCCCTCCCCCCATCCCCTGCCCCATCCAGGGCAACTTCTCTGAGCCTTTCCTTCTCCTAAAAGGGAGGGATGTACCTCGTCGCTTTTGTTGGGAGATCAAGCGGTCGAGATTTTCAAACTTCGGGTGGGCACCCGAAGTACGGGGCAAAAAAAAAATTTTTTTTTCAATATAATGTGTCTGACCAGCATTATTATTATTTTTTAATGAAAGGACGCAAGAGAAATTCTCAGAGGGCACTGCCCGGAATGTCAGGTTAGGGAAGGTGGGGTGTTGTCCATCTTGGTCATTGCTGTGCTCCCAGCATGGGGAACCATACTGGCACACAGTAGACGCTCAATAAATGCGTGCTGAATAAATGAATACATTTATTCATTTTCTTCACTGGATCTAACTTCTACTCCTTCCACCTCTCCACTCCTCACCCCCTGTCCAGTGCACCCAGGAGTAATGCTTCAGATGCCCAGTTCCATATAACTGTCTCCACATTTTAAAGACAATGAAAACCCCCTTTTCTTCCTTTTATTTTTATTTTATTTATTTTTCTTCCTTTTCTTCCTTTTATTTTTTTTGCTCAAGAGCAAGCACATCACATCTAATTCCTCACATCAGAGTAGTAAGTGAATATGCAGCATTGATGAAGAGGGCTATTATTATTCTGTTCCCTTATAAATGTTTTTTTTTTTGCTTCAGCTGTCTGAAAAGAACTACTTCGAGTTGCATTTGGTTTTTATTTTTTAAGATATCATATTGTGTACAAAAACACCACAAAGGGGTTGTGTTTCAGAAGTGGGTACCTGAGGAAGCTGGTTTGTTCCTAAAGCTCACTCTGAGGGAACACGCGTGGGGACAAATCCTATGGCCTCTATCAAGGAGAGGAGACCAAGGCCCCCAGCCCTCAGTTCCACAGCCAGGTGGCAGGATCTGGGCTGTGCACCCAGGCTGACCGCTCAGCCCCCTCCCCGTGAGCCTGTGCCCAGAAGCCCCTTCACACCCTCACCTTCACACGCAGCATCTCCTCAGGGATGTTCACCATAGCATGGGTGAGCCAGCTCTCCAGGCTCTTGGCAAAGTTCCGGATCGCTTGGGTCAAGGCACCTGCGGGTGGCAGCAGGGGCTGATCAGGACTGTGGTGGGTGGGGATGGGGAGGGCAGTGGGGGGGTGGGCTGTCCTGCACTCACTGGGAATGGGCCGCAGCACGTCAGGGATGAGGATCTCCACCAGGCCCTGGTACAGCACGTTGTCACAGTGCTTGGTCCACTGCAGCACTGGCTCAAACTTGGAGAGGAGCACCAGGCTGGCCTTGGGCAGCCGCTTCTCAGCCTCATCATGCCTGTGGACACCCACCCCACCCCCGAGGTCAGGCTGACACGGGCCCCGATGCCCCCGGGGTCAGATGGGGATCTTATACCTTGCACATCGGGCACAGGCACCCACCCACTGCAGGGAAGAAACGGCTTAGCGAGGCATGCTATCCCAAGCACTGAGTGTCAGACTGATACACAAGCACTGAAGTGGGGGTCAGGAGGTCATGTGCACCCCACAAACTGTAAGGGGTCAGGCAGATACCCCCCTTCCACCTGAGGTCCGAGGTCTGGCTACCCCAGCCCTGGGCGCTGACTCTCACCGTGCCCGCCCCCCTTTCCCCCCCCCCCCTCCCCCCCCCCCCCCGAGGGACTCACACAGCCAGCGGAGGCGCCTCGTTGGGCTGGCTGAGGTTGTACCTCCAGAAGGTTTTCCACAGCGTCTCCACCAGGGTGAACTGTAGGTTCACCATGACGTCGACAATGGCCTGTTGGGGAGGCTGGGATGCTCAGGGACATGGTGGGGGTGAGAGGGGGGGGCGGGCAGCATGGCTTTCCCTCGCCCCTGCCCACTCACCCAGCTGCCCTACCTCACAGTGTTCCCGGTACAGGACCTGAAAGGCCTTGATATCCCCGGGCCCGATGCCCTCGGGGAGCACTTTGCCCTGGAGGTCAAGCTCTGAGAAGTCAGGGAGACTCCTCGAGGCATCTGGAGGCAGGAGGGGACACCATGAGGCCCTTTATCCTCCACCTGCCTGCCCCCCTCCCAAGGCTCTCCCTGGGATCTTATCAAGTTGTCACTTTCCTCCCAAGCAGGGGTCCCCCCCTGGGCAGTGGGGAATGAGGCAGCTCCGGGAAGGCAGATGGAACCAACTG